TTTGGTTCCAAGGATTACATCTAAGATTAGTCGAGTCTTTCTTTGAATTGGCTAGATAGTTTGCAGCATGATTTATCTCTTCCAAAGTCTACTCTAAGAATGCAACACATCTAATGGTGATAAAGCAAAGACATGATGAGTCTCTTAGGAATTATATGGCTCATTTTAATAACGAGAGTCTCCAAGTGCGAGATAAAGATGAGAAGACGGTGATGGCAGTGCTTATAAATGACTTGAGAATAAATGAGCTATATTATAAACTTGTTAAGAAATCACCTAGGACGTTGGAAGAGCTATTGAATAGAGTTTACGCTGCTGCTAAAGCAGAGGAGGCTGCTCGTCTCAAAATAGAATTTGAGAGGGATCTTGAGGATAGGTGAAGGAAGAATGGAAATGTCGACCCTAAAGATGGGCAGACCAGGAGATACATTTTTTATCACTTCTCTGAGGGGAAGAGTCCATCTCAAGAAAAGGATTTCACACCCTTAGCAGCACCAAAATCTCAAATGTTGGTAGTAATAGAGGTAGAAGGTACTAAAAAGAGGCCTCCCAAGATGTCTGGCTCCAAAAATAAAAGGAATAGAAACCTCTATTGTACTTTTCATAGAGATATCGGCCATGACAATGAGGAGTGTAGGGATCTAAAAATATAAATAATGGAGTTGATCAAATGTAGAAACCTAAAACAGTTCTTTCAAAATAATCAAACTTTTCAAGAAGGAAGAAGGGATTATTGTTTGAACAATCAAGATGACAGAGCGGGAAACAATGAATGAGATCAACAGAGACTACCTCGAGATCATTCACCTAATCCTAACCCATAAAACCTAGTTGGGGTAATCAATACAATAACTAGAGGACCCACTAGCAAAGACAGTCATTCAGTTTGAAAAAATAATTGAACTCCACCAAAAGAGGATAATTCTACGAAACAATTGAAAATATATGAGGAAATCATATATGGACTTGAAAATTCTACTCCATTGGCATCAAATAATCATGAGGCAATTATCATAGATGTAATCACTAATAATTTCAGGATAAAGAAGGTATTCGTAGATCTGAGAAGTAAGATGGATGTACTGTATTATAAAACCTTCGAGGAATTTAAACTAGAAGATAGGCAACTTACTGCAGTTAGGACGCCATTGGTGGGATTCACAAGTTTTTCTATAAAACTTGAAGAGATGATGACTCTGATGGTGACTGTTGGAAGAGCGCTAAATGCTAAATTGTTCCAATCAATTTTGTGGTTCTTAAAGAACCTTCGTCATATAATATATTTATCGGTTGACCTACTCTCGGCTGACCTTGACTTTATTATCTCGTTTGGCAAGTGAGTTTTTTGAGTGTTTGTCTAAAATTTGACTGTAGAAGTTTTTAAAAATTTTTTTGAAGTGTGTTGTTTTGAATATTTTGAATTGTATAGTTTAAAAATTTTGAAATGTTTTTTGAGGTTACTGTAACTAAAGTTTTTAAAAAACTTGTAGCAGACAAACTTGGCAAAAAACTTGTCTGCCAAACAAGGTCTATATTTGAGCATGAAATTTTTTACCCTTAGTCGGATAGTAGAAGTTTATGCGGTTCCTAAAGTGGATAGGGCATGTTATATTGCCACTCTTAAAGGGAAGAAAAAATTGGTTGCTTAGATGACCAGTTTGGATCCCTTTGTATAGACGAAAAAAGATAATAGATTAGAATTGAGAATACTATAGAAAAATTCTCATTAAAAGAGGTAAGGCTAGATCAGATGATTAAGATTTGGGTCTTCTGTTCTCCAGCATGAGAAGAAGTAGTTGTTAGAACTGCTAAGGGAATGTGCTGAAATATTCACTTGGATAGTTGATCACATGCCGGGAATACCAGTAGAGTTAACAGTCCATAAACTAAACATAAACCCAAATGGTAAACTAGTAAAGTAGAAGAAGCGAAATTTTACCTTGAAAAGAGATGAGGCCATTATTTAGGTGGTGGAAAAGCTTTTAAGAGTTTTAGATTATAATTGAGATATAGTATCTGAGTTGGCTAGCTAATCCAGTATTAGTGAAGAAAGACTTAAATCTTGGAGGATATGTAGATTTCATTATATTGAATATGGTGTGTCTAGAGGATTACTATCCACTTATCCGGATGGACAGGTTGGCAGATTCTTCTATTGGATATGATGTTCTTATTTTCTAGATACTTTTAAGGGATATCACCAGATAGAGATGGAGCAAGATTTAAGGAGAAGGTTTTCTTGATTATGGAGGATGGTACATATTGTTATAGAATCATACTGTTTGGGTTAAAAACTGCTGGACCTACCTGTCAAAGACTGGTGAGTTGTTTTAGAAGTAGAACAACAAGAACATAGAGGTGTATGTAGATAACATGTTGGTGAAGAGTTGAATTACTATGATATTGGCTTATTGCTAACGAAATCGTTTGATTGTCCCACAATTTTGAACCTCTTGATTTTTATGTAAATTTAAAAATTAAACTGGTTATATCAAATGGGTCATATTAATTTGCTTGAATTAACGTAGTTGGTAAAAGAAAATAAAAAATATTTATATTTAACTTCCCAATACCTAGTAATTGTTAGCCTGCAAGAGTTTCTAAATTGAACTAGTTATTAAAGTAGATAAGTTCTAAATTGTTTAGTTAACCAATTAAACCAATTAAGTATATTGATTTTATTATGTAATTTTTTATTCCATGGTAATAAATTCAATGTGAAATTTTGTGTTTGAGTAATAGTAAATAAACTATTTTTTAAAAAATATTTTGCCACCTAATTGATTTTTTTTTCTAATTTTTCTCCAATAAGGAATGGGAGGGATTCAAGAAATGGGAAGGGAAAAGTGGGGATTGGAACTCAAGACCTCTAAATTCAAATACCTTAACTTTGGGCACTATCAATGCCCCCTTAACATCTAATTGGTCTAACGTTGAAACCCGTTAAGTACAAACTCATTTTGGATGAAAGTGGAATTAGTTGTGTTATATAAGTTAATTGGTTGTGTTATATAAGATTTTTCTTTTTTTCATGTTTAAGAATAATGAATTATTTCTTAAAATAATATGAAAGTACATTCTAGATCTAGTATATTTAATTAAAATGTTTAATTTAATACAAGGAAAATAACCTTTCTTTGAGAATCTAAATAAAAAAATAAAACTAAAAATTGGGCCAAAATTTTCGTTCAAACAGAAAGAAAAATCAATAGCGGGAATTGAAAATTGGTAGAGGCATTCTTTAAATTGCAAATTTCAAAATGAAAAAGTACAAGTCAAAGATTTTATTGGGCTAAGTCTAATACACTTCTCATAGTCAAAGTACAAGATTCTGTAAATTAAATCAATTATAAAAGTGGATAAGTCCAACACTAGATCTGTAGTTAACTAATTACAATAATTTATAAATAGCAATTATAATTGATATAAAGTTTTAGCATCTATGAGAACTAGTAGAATTTTATTAACAGTGCTTTTCCATTTGTATGAATTTAAAAAATTTTACCACTCATACTAAAAATTTTAAAATTGTGACACAAAAATAATGAATAATAGTGAAATCTATGCTTCAAATACAATTATAAACCAAAAAATTTCATAATTTTTTCTTGTGTAGAAAGGGGGGAATTATGATGTCCAAATCTAGGGGACGTTTGGTAAAAATGTATCGGAATGAAGGAATGGAATAAACTCCATAGTTGATGTTTGGTTCACTGAAATGGGAATTGAAATCTTGGAATGATTTCTAAAAACTTGGCATCCCTCCATTCCTTAGTAAAAGGGTGGGTTTTGTCTAAAACCCAAGGGCCTATTTGGAAGTGAGTTTTTTGGCCAAGTTTTTTAACTACTAGTTTTTTAACAACTTTAGCTACAGAAACCCAAAAAAACTTATCAAAATTTTTAACCTACACACTTCAAAATATCTAATACACAAAAAACTTCTATTTTTTCTTCTTTTTTCTCCCCCACCCCATCCACCATACCTTCATCGCCGGCCACCACCTCCGCTGCCGGCCACCTATTCCGGCGCCGCCGTTCCCTTTTTTTTTTTCCTTCCTTTCTCTCTCTCTCTCTCCTTCCCTGAAAACCTCCTCTTCTTTAAAAACCCTGTTCATTATGCGATCTTCATTAGCAGACTGCTAATCAAGAAGTCTTACCTTAACCACTATTGCCCCTTCCATCAGTGGTGAAGGGGGTGGCGGGGCAGAGGGGAAGGGGTGGCGGGGGGAGGGGGTGGAGGGGAAGGGGTGCACGAGCTAGCCGATTCGGATTGAGAGAAAAACGTATCGCCCACTTCCTACAATCCGGCCGTCCCTGAAGGGCAACGAGGTTTGAGCAATTTTGCCTCTTTCGACGAGCCACAGGCTGTTCCGCCGCTTCTCGTTTGGCCAGAGAATCCAGCTATCGTAGTCCTAGCTCTGCCCTGAAGGGAGGCTAGCAGCTATCGAAGCAATGAGTCCCGGCTAGCTTGCTTCCACTGGTGGTGAGCGGGGCTGATTCACTGAGCCTAGCTGCCCGCAATCCGTATGGGACATATTCCTCTGAGCTGGTGAGGGGAGGAGGAAGAGGCAGCGGGGGAAGGGGTGGCGGGCCAGAGGGGGAAGGGGCAGTGGAGGAGGGGGTGGCAGGGCAGAGGGGGTGGCGTGGAGAGGGGAGGGGGAAGGGGCAGAGGGGGTGGCGGGGGGAGGGGGTGGCGTGCAGAGAGGGTGGCGATTACCATAAGATTGCAATTTGATGCACTGAAAAGTTATTAGGTAATATATGGTTTCACCATAAATATGAAAACAACCTAGTGTAGAATTTTTATTGAGTGATCTCTCTTATGTTTCCGTTTTCTACATCCCCTGATTCATGAGGAAGCCAAGAAAAGATAAAACAAACTCCTGATTCATGTGGAAAACATTAACACCAAAAAGAAACAAAATTCTTGATCTACTAGGTAATTATAAACTATTCGAAAGGCCCTGGTCAAGGATAGGATAGCAATACATCATTATACTATGGTTCATGTCTATTACAAGGGCAGTCCAGGTGGATGGAGATCAGCATCCTTCATGGTAGGTTAGTAAACATATAAAAGTACATACATAGTCCTACTAAGGTATTTTCCAATGATTGCTAAAGTTCTTTAAGCATTACCTTCTTTTTGTCCAATTTTCTAAGAACTATTAATGATTTAGAAGCAAAACAAAGTTATGTGGAATTCAACCTGATCATTATGATTTGACTGGGTTGGCTGTAATCTATAGCTGGAGGATCTCTTGAGAGGTTTGCCTATTATGGAGTAAAATCTAATTTGATTAGCTATCTTACTGGACCACTTGGAGAACCTGTTGCAACAGCAGCAGCAAATGTCAATACATGGATTGGTGTAGTTTCACTTGTACCAGTTTTAGGAGCATATTTGGCTGATTCTTTCCTTAGCAGATATCGATCAATTATCATTGCTTCCATTCTCTATATCTTGGTCAGTTCACAATTTTACTTTTATATAAATTGTTATTGGCATTTCCTTGTTTGTTAATGTAACTTTTGTGCACTTTTCTCCACATACAAAAAGATAAAGATATCTACATTTTTGTCACTTGAAGTAAAATTTGACTAGATGGGAGAGCTTGTGAATGCAATGAAGTATATGGGTACTTTAATTCAAGTCAAAGGATTAGAACCTCAAACGGAAAGCCAAGTACAAATAAGGGGGTGAAAATAACAAGTCTCCATCTCTTTGGAATTGTACATACTTCAAGCTCTTATTACTCTCTATGGTGATATAGTGCTGAAAATGTTGCAGGGACTTGGTTTTTTGAGCCTGTCTGCATCAAGTAGTCCAACTTTTCTTAGCAGCTCAAGCTATCAAGCCATAACCAAGAAATCAGGCTTGGATACAAGAAACCAAGTATTGTTTTTTGTCTCACTTTACGTGATTGCATTGGCTCAAGGATATAATCCTTGTGTTCAAGCTTTCGGAGCTAATCAATTCAACGGAAAACATTAGGAAAAGAGCAAAGCCAAGAGCTCATTTGTCAATTGGTGGCTCTATGGCCTATGCATTGGTTCTATAGCAGCACATTTGATCTTGCACTATATTCAAGACAATATTAGTTGGACAATTGGTTTTGGGATTCTACGTCTTGTTATGATTCTTTGGCTAATTCTCTTTTTACTTGGACATAGAACTTACTTTTTTGATGTTAAAAGAGGTGATGAAGAGAGCCCTTATGGGAGGATCAAGTGGGGCATAGCTAAAGAGGGTGATGCTTTGAGCAGTAGAGCACAGGCGTCAAGCAGTCAAGAAGAGTGCCAAGAATATTTGTTGTCAAAAACTCAACAAAGATCTCAAGATTATAGGTAAGGAAATATTACTAGACCAGAAAGAAATTTTCTGACCATACAATAAATTATGGAGTCCTTAAATAGATCTTCCTGAACAATTTATCCAGTTACCAGAGAAGGTAACTCACTGTTTTACCCTTTAAGAAAGGAAAATGAAATAGATCCAATTTCTTTTGTGAACAGAAATTTTGCATTTTGTAGCCAACCTTTTCAAGAATCTTCTGTGCTTTCCCTTTATTATTTTACATTCAATTATGTCAAGTAAGTAAAGGTCTAAAAAGCTAATCAAAGTTACTTTTACTGTAATGTTTTGCTCGTCTCCATATTTACTACTTATTTTTCTTCTTTAATGCAGAAAAAGGCTGTTCATTCAACTTTATTGGAAGATCAGTGAATAATACTAAAATTCCCAACACTTGAGTCTATGGCTTTGACTGACCGACATTGGAGATGGAAGATGTCTTTTTTCCATGCAGCTCACTTACGAGTTTCTACTTCTTTATTTCAATAGCCTTTTGTAAAACTACTTTATTTTGATGTAAAATTTGGGACGCCTAAACCCCTTATCGAAACATTTGTTTTGTGATGTAGAACTTATATGACATTTGAAGATAATTTGTGGTATATAGGCATGCAGCTTCTCATGCAGCTATTTATTTTATTTGTTAACATGTCAAGATATATTGTTTCTTTTTATTTTATCATGAGTACTGTTGGCAATGAAAAAAATTAATTGAAAATTTTCATTGACAAATTAAGTTGTCACAAAAGAAACGCCTATCTAGCAAAAGGAACTTCCTTTTACGCAGCATAATGTCGTCATTAGCATCGAATCATATTATTGACAAAAATTGCTGTCGGTAACATGACAATATAAGTGACAACCATCACCAATTTTCAGTGATGACCCGAATCCAGATATTTCTGACAACAGGTTCAAGTTGTCAATAAAACTGGGTTCATAATGTCATCAGACTCATCACTAAAAATGATATTTCATTGACGACTTTTAAGGTCGTCACTGCTTCCTTTTACTGATGGAGGTATAGTGACGACCTTTTCAATAATTATCATTTGTGATGATTTTTTACTGTTCTGTGACAATTCTGTGCTATTACTGATGACTTATTTTCTTGTAATGAGTTTATCATTAGCCTCTCTTAGTCAATGCCCTTGGCTTTTTGCTCAATAGGAAATAGATCTACTTAGACCCTTTCCCCCCAAAAGGCTATGAATATTTGGTCGTGGACATAGACTATTTTACTAAGTGGATAGAGGTCGAACACTTGAGTTTCATAACAGGGAGAAAGTGTGTGGCTTTGGGATACCACGTGTTGATCTCGGATAAAAGAAAATACACAGAGAATTCCTTTAAGGAGTGGTGTGAAGAGCTGAAAATAAAATAGAATTTCACGTCGATTGGTAGGTGAAAATATGAATAGGATAATTCTGCACGGGTTGAAAATTAGAATGGAGCAAGCGAGGTGTGGTCCTATCTAAAAGGGTATAGCCTTCATTACCGACGTGATAATTTTACGGGCACCGAAATGGTTTCAGAGCCCAATGATCTCATAAATATTCCCCTAATCCCCAATGATTTCATGAATAATCTCACTATTGTCATAAATGATCCCCTAATCCTCATAAATAATCCAACATTGACCATAGACTATAGACAAAATAATGACGATGATTATATTTCAGACGAAGACTTTGAGACAAATCCAGTACCCATTAGATACTTTAATAATGAAGTAGAATATGACGATTCTGATTGGTACTATCCATCTCCTTAAAATGGAAGAATGTCAAATATGTGACTCTATTTTATTCCTTATTAAAGAATACGCATATCAGTTGCAACAATTAGATAAAAGAATTTCATATTATCAAGAAGAATGGCTTCATGTCATTTTATACAATTGTAACCCAGTTACTTGTCATGATAGATACAAGATTTTGAGAGATGCAGAACATGAAAAATATTTAATAACCAATAGATATGCAGAAATCAATAAAGAATTTACTGTACATTATAGAGAAAATCATTTAAATTCACCATGAATAACTCAGAAAGAATAACTTATTGTCTAGAATGTCAAAAATTTATTAGCCAAGATCTAGCAGCTAAAGCTAAAATAAATAAGATAAGAAAACTTATTGTAAAATATTCCTTTGAAGAAATAATATTAGAAGCATTAAACATATTATTGGATATTGAAAAAGAAATTTAGAGAAAGTTGTTTCAAATCGACATTTACATTTAGTAAGAACCCATACATGAATTCTGATAACTACAAACTAATAGAACCTACATATTTAAAAATAGAAAAAGACCTATTTGAAATACAAAAACCAATAATATATATGTGTAGAGATCTAAAGAGAGAAATTCGAAAAAATAGAAAAAACAGGAAAAACTGAAAAAATAAATTCAAAAAAAAAAAAAACTACCGAAACAAGAAATAAAACCACCATTGAATATTTAACAGAACATATTGCTAAAATAAAATGAGTGACTCTGAAGAAAATTTTACTTGCCTTTCAGATTCCGAGATAGAAAATATAAGTAATAAACTCAATAATTTAATGATAAATATAAAACTAGATATAAAACCAGAGATGAATCCAAACATAAGCGATCTCCCTTCAACCAGCAGACCCGCATCTTCATATGCTCGATGAAAGCCTGGTTCAGGAAATTCTTTCGTTTCATCACTAATGAATATAGCAAAGCAAAAAGACTATTTAAATAATGAAGGCTATACCCTTTTAAATAGGACCACACCTGAAGCCATATATCCTTTTGGTACATTTTTAGATTTAGACTGTGTAAAAAATACTGAAGAAGCAATAGATAAATGGAAAATTGGATTAAGATTAGCTGTTTCTATAAACAAATTAACATATGAAGAGGCAAAAGGATTTTTAGAGAGATCACTGGTAAATAGTGTTTCTCGATATTGGAAGACATTACCAGAAGAAACTAAGTCAATAATATTTGGAGAAGAAGAATACATAAATGGTATGGTAACTAGAGCACTTGAATTAATTCGCCTTGAATTTGTTGGTGCTAATTCAGTTAAAAAATATACCGATGCACTATTTAGATTAACACTTTGTGATATGTGTGAAATAGATAAATATATCTGTGTTTTTTAAAATTATTATTATAGAACAGATTCAAGGAAAAGAGAAACATATTTAGAAATGTTTTTCTCAAAAATCCCTGATCCATGGGGTAAAAAATTAAGAGAAGAATATAGTCCTGGAACAAAAGATACATTAGAAAAAAGAATATTCCGTACAGTAGATAAACTAAGTAAATGGTGTGAAGAATCTACACTCTTTAGAAAGACCCGTAATTTGAAATATCAATTAAAATTATGTTGTAATAATCTTAACATGCCTACCCAGATAGGATGTGATACTCCTTATTATTATCATAAAATGAAAAATAAATATAAAAAGTGAAAATATTTTAAAAGAAAATATATGAAGAAAAGAAAGGCAAAATGCTACAAAAGTAGAGAAAAATTTCCAAAAAAGAAAAAGATGTATAGGAGAAATAAAAGAAAAAGAAATATAACAGATTGCCAATGTTATTTTTGTAAAGAAAAAGGACACTTAGCAAATCAATGTCCTAAGAAATTTAATAAAAAGAGATTTGAAGTGGATGAGGATATTGTAGACTTGATTGATAATAATGAATTAATAGAAATAAATAGATTTGCAGAAATACATGAAATTTCTTCCGATGAAAGTATATTTATCTGTATAGATACAGAATATGAAATAAGCAGTGAAGATGAGTGAAATAGAAGAAGAGAAAAATAATACTTCTGAAATAATAGATATTCATTCAGAAAAATTAGGAGAATATAGTCAAGAAGCACTCATAGATAGAAAAATATTAACAAAAATTCAAAAAAGTAATTTTTCAATAAATTCTTATAGTGGATTTAATGTACCTGCATTAGAAAAAATAAAATTTTATCTAAGAAAACACCATATGTACTATGGAATAAATCTCAAGGAGAAAGCTTTAGAATTCAGCCTTACTACCAATAAAATAATGATCCCATTAATATCTAAAAAAGATATTTACAGCAAATTAGAAAAAATACCAGAAAAAATAAGAGAATCAATAGGATGGATTCATATAGGTTCTATCCAAATGATTATTAGATCGACATTTAGAGAAGGATTGAATACACCTATAGACCTTGCTATAGTTGATAATATAATAAAAAATAGAGAAGAAGCAACTCTTGGAATCCTTAGAGGAAACCTTAAATATCAAAAACTAATTTTTAATATATATCCAAAAATCTCTTATAACATACAAGATAAAGATTTTGATAAGACACTTTCCTTAATACAAGATTTCAAAAGAAAAGATTTCTTTTTTAATGGAAATAGACCATATTCCATTACATATATGATTTCTTATGCTTTATCAAATACACATCATACTGAACAATTTTCAAAAACTGAATTTATTGATCTCCCTAAATTATTTTCCAAAGTAGGAAAAATATATCCTCCAGAAATTACTAATATAGAATTAAATGAGGAATTCAATTTAGATATAAGTCAAAAACCTCTATTAGACAAGCCAGATGCCTTGTTATCAAGATTATCTTATTCAGGAAAAATGGTTAGAAGTAATTCTTACCGTTTACCGAATATGAATACTAATCAAAAAATAACAACAAATTATAGAATAGAAGCTAGATATTGGAATGGGAAAAATATGACAAATTGTAATATTTTAATAGATACAGGAGTTAATGGAAATTATATATCACATAGACTAATTGAACACTTATCCATTTTTCAATTAGAAAACCCTTATCAATACACAAATTTTAATGGAGAAACTCATGAAATAACGGAGACTGTAGAAACAGAAATTGAATTAACTGGTAATCGAATTCCTATTCAACTCCTAGTTGAAAATGAAGGATTTAATAATACTCTTGAAATAATGTTGGGAACAAGTTTTTTAGATTCAGT